GCGGCAAAAGTTGAGCCAGGTTGAATGTTTGAGATGGTACGAATAGAATGGCGTCATTTTAAATGAATGCCGAATGAATTCCCATTGTCTACATCATTTTGTAATGCTGTCACATAATCAACCTTCTAACTCTGGTGAGATGAAAAACATATTTAGTGGTATTACATTAGCCCTTCCTATTCTTCCTTTCCATCTCAATTATTTCACCCCTACAGCAGAGTGTCCTATAAAAGTACCCAGTCTATTTATCCCCTTTTTCACTACTGCAGCCTGTCTAACGTGTCCGCCTCCACGCTCAGACAGTTACCTGAGAGATACTGGAAAACAAACAAAAAAGCTATGAACAAAAGGTCAAGACAATATTGAGTGTGAGCCTTGAAGTTCATGACCCGGGCACAGGCACCCTCAGGACCTCAGGATGAGGCTCAGAATTCAACAGATGTTGAAAAACAAATCCACAGCCTGGAGGGAAACAAAGCAAACATGGTGGAGAGTACAAAGTACCAGAAACGTTTGACACAAGGGTAATTCAGGTCAAACACTGCATCCAAAGGTCAACTACCTGCGACCACACCAGTAACATCCTCTATTCATAATAGCCTTGGAGTCCCTTAATCCTTTTTACGTACATTTGTTAACTGGGAACCAAATGGGCAACATTCCAAGTGTTCCTGAAGCAGCCCTCAGGTATGTGCTGCCTTCCTAGATGAAAGGGGATAAACTGCTGAGTGCCAATTACAAAGCTAAATAGAGTTAAAACTATAGCACTAAGAACACCTCTGGGCACTTCAGAAGGTCCATGTACAGTCCAAAAATTAAAGGCCATTTTAATATTCTAGGGCAACTTGAAACAGAGACACACATTGTAGTCTGCCACACACCTCTCTCCTCCTCTAATCCTCCCAAAACCTCCACCTCTCTCTTTTGGCATTCCTGCCTAATAGCATCATTATTGACTGTGTCCAGATAAACGCAGGCACCTTGTAATCTCACACGGGCGGGGAAGTTCAGAAAACTGCTGCTCTGGAAAGAAGGAAACAAAGGGAAAAGGGGACGGTGGAAGAAGACGCTGAACACCAACAAAGAGAACTCTGAGATGAGTGCCTTTGATCATTCAGAGGAGGTAGAAGCAATCCCGTCATCTTCTCTCATCACACCACACCCAAAGCTTTGGTCCAGCTCCTTCTAACTAAAGTTTACTGGCTGGAGAAGGGTTGCAAGACAGGCCATCAACCAATATACAGAAATCCCAGCTGAAACAACCACTTGATAGCAATTACATTGAAGACAAAGACATCGGTGATTGATTTCCTTTTGGAAAGTCAAAATCTGCGTCTGAATTTCTACATGCTCGATGATCATAGGCTGAAATCACCCAGTTAGTCTCTCTCTATTTGGCCTGTACCATTCCTTGTGCCTTTCCTTGAACACATCCAGTACAATCAAAACGTTTTAGGAAGGAGATACAGTATGTTCGTTTTGCTGAATGCCCTCCAGGAAAAACTGTTCAAAAGTGAACTTTATGATCATCATCAACCCTAAATCATAAAGGGAATTATATAATCAGTTAGCACATACTGTGAAATAAATGGCCTGAGAAATAAAGGCATTTCTTAGGCTGTTATATCAGCCTTAGGAAGTCAAAATCTTTGTCCAGAGGGTAGGAGCGTACATTTTCCGTACCTCTACTTTTGTAGAGAGAGAGAGATTCTGAGAGTGTTCACTTCCATAGTGGGAGCAGCATTTGGGACGTGTTACTACTTTTAGAAATTAGTATCCTGTAGAGGACAATGCAGAAGAAAAACAACTATAAGTAAAGACAAGAAAAGTGCAAAGGCTGAGCACAAAATATTAAATTACTTATTTAAGTGTAGGCTCCTTTGCTTTCTGGCATTTAAAACTGCACAACACTGTGAACCAATATGGAAAAAAGATAAAGTGTGCCACTTTGATATGGATGCAATCACCTTCAAATTAAAGGACTGAGCCAGAACAAACAAAAACCGCATAGTCATCTTAAAATCTGTATAGTAAACAGCTAACACAACAAAAAATAATCACAGACCCAAGGCTCAGGTTTCTGACCCGTCTCAAATGTTGCTAATTAAACACTCACACAAGCAAGAACGTAAAGAGACACAAACACACCCTCTGACAGCAAGGTAGTATTTACAAGGACGAGCACGTGTGTAAGTACGTCAGCAGAGCCACGAAGAACATAGAACCTCTGAGGGCTCTGGAAACTAATCTGCGGAAACGTGAACAGCACACACACATAAACACACTTTAATTCATGCCAACTCGTTACGACACATTCTTCACACCTTGTAGATTGTCTTGTTATAATGGTTAATTGGAGAACTGCACAATTGAACATACATTCTGGGATAAATGCAGCATTTCCTGTCTTGGTAATGGTAAGAGTGTTGTGAAATAAAGTTTATTTGGCTGTAAACTTTCAAATAAATGGTCCACAAGTCCAGAGCATCTGCTTGCAATACACCTTTCACTACTCCACCCAAGACTGGATTTCTTAATAATGGATTGTTAATTGCTCTTTGGACGTCAGCTACTAAATATAGATGGTCACAGCTTTTTTTTAACAGTTATTTGAGGTAGAGAATCATACAGGTTAAAAGCAACTAAGGGTATGCAATGATGACAATCAACCCTACCATTGATTAATTGCCATGCTTTCAGACTGCAGTGCTGAACACACAACCTCTGTGCCTCAGTAAAATGACTTGTGAAGTATCCTCTTGCTTTCTCTCTTTCTTTCTCTCCCTGCAGGATGGAGGAAAGGGGGGAGGCTTCCTGACTGATCTTCCCACACAAGCCTGACCCCAATATCCAGGCATCCTCCTGACACTCTTGCTTCACACACACAGACAAGCACCCACACACACACAGGCAGCGAGAAACCCAGATACACAAACACACTCTCTAATGTTTACTGTGTCAGATTGCAGTGTAAATAAAGGGGGAGCTCCGGCCTCTGATTTAAAGGGAGCCAAATCAAACAGGAGGGACTGCGTTATCGCACTGGGTCGGATGTAAAGTGGAGGAATTGGATCTGTGTCAGAATGAAACAAACCCTATAAAAAGTTCCTAGGAAAACAAAAGTGCTCTATGAGGGTCTGGGATGTTTTTGCAGAAGGACAAAAAGCGAAGCAGGGGCAGAATAACATTTGGGGAAATGTTCAGCTACCCCTGCTTGCAGTGTGCCGTGCTAATCATTCTTCTATTCCCCTGGGGGTTTTGGAAAACACATTCTGACATCCTCTTAAACATTTTAAGAAGCAAACGAAATCACTTGGTTGTGAGACGCAGGACAAAGAGAAGTCAACTTCGAATGACTGATTCAAGCTGTTACTGTTTACTGTAAGAGGAGAATGGTGTATATTACTTCCTAGTGACAGTAGTAAAAAAACTGCAATTCATCGAGCCTTGAGGTTGCGTTCAGGTTGTCATCACAGTATTCTTTCCCTACTTTTGCTTTGTCCAAGAAACAATACATGACAGCATTTTTATCACCTGCTAATGATCTAGGATTTACATTCCCCCCCTGAGGCACACGATGAGGAATTCACCAATGTTACACTTGTGTATTCTGTTCATATTTATTCCTTGAAAATAATTATTATTCTAGGCACAGAATCTATGATTAAAGAATTTCATAAGAGTTTGTGGCAGGCTGAAATTTAGCAGAGGAGAGCAAACATCTGGAAAAGGAATCTGTCTCTCTACTACACATCATCTCTGTCGATTACTCTTGTTTTTTTCTCTATGCAGTGTATTGAAGTTAAGCCAAGTACATTTGAAATATATATACCATGAAGTAGTGAGGGGGAAACATATAAAGTCTTAAATAACATTTTGGCAGGATATTAAACATATACCACAAAACGGAGTGGTCATGGTAAGAAGTATTTGTAGTACGTCATACACTAAAGTGCGTAAAGACTACTTCAGACTGCAACAAACACAGTCTGCTGCTCTCTGGTTCTGTTGACCTCTCTAAGGATTATCCAAAGGGGTGTTTCTGTAGAAAGAGTGTACTTGTCTCTTTTTTCTTTTTTTTTACTGATGCAACCCATTATACACTTATAGTGCTGCTGTAACACTTCAAATGTAAGGTCTATCTTATCTCTTATCCTAGTACACACTTGAGCGTTACCTCTTTGCTTATGCTGTTAACGGAGCATTTTTGCACGGGGTGACATCAAACCGTTTCACCTTAAAACCAGCACACAAACCCCCATGACATGGCATCACAGCAGGATGTGATGCTGCTTTTGCAAGAAGGTAAGTGACCTCTCCACCCTCCTCAGAAAATAATAATTAGAGGGACTTTTACATCCTTAGAAAAAGTCTCTCCATCACCAAAATGTTCAAACTCCAAAGTAAGCTCCAGTAAAGTTGTGGTTGTGTTGGTAAGGAAACATTTTACTTGGAAAGTGATGTACATTGATGCATTAAATGTATGTACCAATAGCTTTGTTTGCAATTACATACTCCCATAGCACTGCAAGGAAGGATACATCTGAGTAAAATGTGATTCCTGAATATTTAACACTAATTGTTTAGAACTTCTTATTTGACATGACAGTTCGCCTGCACCTCTGACCTACAAGCCGGGGTTACTGTTAAATAGCCCAATTATATATATTCTAGGCATGATTAGCTGTTGAGAATGAGAGAGAACCCAGAGGTGATAATAATCATCAAGCTGCATTGCAAACCTAAAGCCACACACTTGGCGGAATGCTAATGATAGTGACCGCCAGGCTGAACATCTGTGTGCGGAGACAAAATCCCCCAGAGTCCTTCCTCTGGAGGTGTGAGGAACATTAGGCATTCAAAGGGCGGATTGGGAGCAAACTATCACATTTCTCACTTTCCAAACTCCAAATAAGTGATCAGAGGTTTTGCAAAAAAAAAAAAAATGTCATGCATTGCAAAGTAACATAATTTTACACCACATAGTTTCATTACATTACCTGGATCGTGGAAGGGGACCAGGGCAAAATTATACAGATTTTTCTTCGGTCTGTTCAGGGATGTTTCCAAAATCTTGGACGCGCCCTCGATGACCTGCACCAGGTCGTCGTACATGGAGCCGGTCACATCGAAGACGAATGCCAGGGTGGATGCCCCCTCCGGGATGTCCTCCTTTGTGGCCGGGGTCCCTGTGTCCTGTCCGGCAGAAAACGCCACTGACAGCGCTAGGGACAGCCACACTAATGTGCTGCCCATTTCAGATCCAAGATGCTTCTCAAGCAAAGTTCTTAGATATGTTCTTCTGGCCAGTGCGAACCTTAGGGTAGCGCTCGAGATAAAGATAGAGACATCAGGCTCTTAAAATGGACTGAAATTTATGAGGAACAATTAACAAAGGGATACAGGAATCTCAGAGTTTTCGTGCGCTTCTTCTGCAGTTTCTCACTTCTTCGCAGCCTCTCACTTCTCTGTGAACTCAACCAAGCAGTCCCAGCAGCTGCAGCTGTTCCTGTCGTCTGTTGTCTGCAGAGTCAGGAGCCCTTTTTCAATCAGCTCTGTCATACAAAGACCACCTCTCAGCTGGGCAGAAATTATCCAAGGCGCAGACAACCCCATACAGAAAAGCGCTGCTCTGATTGGACGAGATGCTTTGGGGGAATTCGAGGGATCCTGGGACTAATTTTCTTTGCGGCGTTACACAAAGAGATGTTTCCCCTGGTCAAATACATACGGTCGTAAATGCATTATAGTGTTGGATTTACATGCAAGTAAGTCTTTTTGGCGATTCAATAATGAGTCTGAAGTTATTACACACGCAAAGTCATTACATGCAAACGTATGCTAATTATTAGAAGGTCAATGTCGTACTAATGTGAATCATACAATTTGGAAAGAAAGGTAGCAATTGTTTGAAATGGTGAATGTTTGCACGAGACAAGCTGATACGAGACCAGGACAATCAAAAAATAGCTCTTCTTTAGTGATTCTGAGCTCTGTATTGCCACCTAGCGGTTGTAGTTTGATCTTACAATGATTTGGAAAAGGTGCCAAGAACAACACCAATGACAGCAAAACAATTTGCAAAGGGTTTTACAAGGGATTAGACTAGAGCAAAACACTGAAAAAGTAAAATATTAGAGATCGAACTATTAACCAGTTCTTCTATCGATGAATATGAATAACATCAATACGATGAATAAAGAGAAATAAGAAAAACTAAATGTGATTTTTCCTTAATTTAATCCATTCCTAACCAAGTTGTGTTCATGTAAGGCTTCAGTGTACTTTTCACGCTACTCTGGTGTTCCAAGGTTCCAAGTCTAAAGCCATTATGCATGCAAAATGCCATGCAAAATTATTTCTAAATAGAATGCAACCACAATTCAAGTGAAAATGCCCACTGTGAAAGGTACCAGTGAAACCAAAGCAGATAAATGGAATTTCGCCATATCTAATATTGTTATTCACACCAATGCTATTCAAGCTGTGATATGTCAAAGGAATTGTACATCATTCTTTGGTATATATCTGTAGTTGAAATGCCAAAAGGTCCAACAAAAATCTGTTGATGTGAAAAATAAATTATGAGGGTTGTGCTAGATTTTCTGTGGCCCGTAGAATCTATCAATAAAATCTTAGCGGATTTTTTTTTTTTAAAGTAATTGTTATTCATTTCAATTAGACAATCATCGGTAACTGCAAACCATTATAATTTGTTGGCACCAGAGGGAGCGAGTACACCACTTATAACTCATATTGCATGTTGCAGAACTTTAAAAAGTGAATAGTGAGAATAGGGCAATTTAGAATAGATAAGAACACAAGGGAAATTCAAGAGCAGACAAAACCTAGAACACAAAGAAATAGAGTGTAAGAATATAATTTCCCTAGCCTATTACAAAAATACCTGGCTCTGTTAAGGGAATGGCATTACCAAGGGAAGTGTCTGGCTTTTTTCAAAGGTGATTTCAGGTCTTTACTGAAGTATGGGGATTGAAAGCTGAATGGAAACATTCAAATAAGAATCCAAACCTCACTAACCAAGACACACTCAAATGATGTAGGAGGAGAGCATCTGCAAATAAGATTTTTGCATGGCAAACAAATAGGGAGGTTAAAGCCTTCTGGAAAATGCACCATGACAATCCAGCATGCAGGCAATGATTACACAACACATTTCTCAGTATAAATAAAACACGTATTTTCCAAGCTTAAATAACAGCTTAGAGGTACATCCTGTTCCTAACAAGATAATACTATACAAAAATAAATATGAAAGGCTTACACTCCTTTGACATCATTTTATTTACACAGCGTTGTTCCTTCTACTGTGTGCAAGCTAGTGATTCAGTCATCCGAAGGTAATCTGCAGAAGCAGACTTGTTAAAATTGTTACACACACACACACACACACACACACACACACACACACACACACACACACACACACACACACACACACACACACACACACACACACAAGCACAAGCACGAGCACACACATATAAAAAGTGCTTTAGCTCGATTTCAAGGACACGCCAGATCATTATTATTATGATTTATTACCATGTGTGGGATTTCCCACTTGCTTGAGTTCCTTGGAAGGCGGTACATTTGTTATCACCTGGTTTAGCAGTTACACATTTAACCTTCTTGACCTTTTAACTATAAAAGTGTTAATGATTAATGACATAAAAGACATCAATCAGTCTCCCTTGGTATTAAGTTAACTGATGGAAAAAAACGTAATTGCTCTAGAATAGAAAATTGGAATATCTTGTGTTCACTCCCACATTATGCAACATTTAGAAATTACTGTATTCAACAGATTGTTTTTTTCTAATTACTAATGTAGAACTTGACAGTTAATACACAAAGGATATTTGTTCACTGAAACACACCGTCCCAAGGCAACCACCAAGGCTATCACAGCTCTGTACAAAGACGATGAATCAATGATTGACTTAGTTCACTGGTCGGCATGGATGTTATGTTGTGATAGCACCTGCTCCACAACTTCTCACACAATGGCATCACAGAAAAACCCTCTGGGGAAACGACAACACATTTACATTATTGTTATTCTATGTGTAATACTTAGGAATTGCATATACTTGCGTGCTAGGGTTTACACATCTCATTGCTGCTCAAACTAGATCCACCACTTCTTCCTGCGGCTGTTATTGCAGGTATGGGAAACAGACTCAAAAGCACCAGAGAAATTATGAGTTAGTGTGAGTTGCTTTTCATTTGTTTGTAATCGTGTTATGATTTATGAGGTAATCCTACTGTATATGCCGGAGAACCACATTATGCTGTTTTTCTCCTTATGTGCATGTGTATTTCTGCATATGTTAATAGTTTTTTTATAGCTGTTAAAGAGCTAATTACTGCAGTCTCATAGGACAGGCATGACTCTAGCTCCCAAACACTGTTGCCCTGTCTCCCAAACACGATCCACATGACACATGGGCTCCATCCCTCCAGTGAGCCAACCAGAAAGCCCACCCTGGGGCCTGGTGCTCTGTTGCCCAACAAACCTAATCCCTGGGTTTAATGCCTCTCATCACACTAAAGTCGCTCTTTTGTAGAGACCACAACTCATCTGGCCAATGAGGCTGGCCGGTTTTGCACATACACACCAACATATCCTTTGTAATCCCTCACCATTCTTTCTTTTTATCTCCCTCTCCCACTCTGGGTCTCTCGTTTTCATAAACACACACTGTACAGTATAAACATGGGTAACCACGTGAATACCAGCATTTGTGTGCACTTACAATAGTGCTCATTCTTTTACTCTCTCATCATATCTCTCAAAGGACAGACAAACACTAGCAGTGAAAAAAAAAATGTCTTTGTTCCTTGGCTATTTTTATCAGGAGTTTGTTTGCAAATGTTCAAAAAAGCAGAGAAGACAAAATTGAAAGAACAGCATACTGTATATATAGACAGTCAAAGAAATAGTACAAAAAAAGTGACGTCCGGCTTCTGAAAAGTTATACACACTCCAATTGTTCTTCACTTGGTGTAGTCAGATGATAATGGGAAAGACAGCTGAGGAAAGAAGAAGGTTCTCTCTCTCTGTCAGACTCAGATCTAACTGGATTTGGCGAGACATCACCTCTCTCTCCCTCTCTCTCTTTTTACTCAGGCCTCTGGTGCTATGTGGTCTGCACATTCCTGCTTTCAAAGCTACTGTTAATGCTGATCACATAATTAAGCATTCATTCTGGCTTTTGTTTTTCACAAACTATGAACAGAGACTCTACGAGAATGTGTGTGTACGTGTTGTGGGTCCATGTGACTGTATGGCTGTATCAAAAAGTGAAAGAGAAACAGAGAATAATGGTGAGTAAGGACCTGACTTGTGAATACAGTAAGCTCTGAAAGTGTATTTCAATTTAAAAGGGAACACGTTTGTCCCAACTCAGTGAGGATGTCACTGTCTAGGTTGACTTACTGCTTTATTTTATTGCTATCTAACTATATGTTATTACAGTGTCGTTAAAGATTTTTTGTTTTATATTCGATTTTTTGTTTTATATGGAGATTTTTTTGTTTTATATTTTATTTATGCACCATGACATCAAGTCAAATTCCTCGTACAGTATGTGTGAACCTACCTGGCAATAAACCCGTTTCTGATTATGATTATGAAACTAGAGAACAGGACAAAAACCTATGTACGCATACTCTCTTGGCTGTTTTAAGTCTTTTATCTAAGATTATATGTGGTTTAAGTCATGTAACCTGTCTTTTAACACAGACAGGTTTTAAATTTGTCAAAAAAATATAATTTCTCATTTTGGTCAAAAACTTGAGATATATGATTTACAAGAGGAAACAGGTACAGATTTAACAGTGGTTTACAGAACCAACGCAAATGTGATCCTAAACCACTGCGGTTTTCTGGGGATTTGTCAGAAAAATCACACACAAATCCATAAAGGTGGATCACTGTTAATCCATATTGCATTGGAGATAGATAAACAGAGCTCCTAAGCTCTAAGGAGGCTATGATAATGTCCATGTTACGGTAACATTTATGTCTTTTCAGGAAAATGTGGGTCAGCCATAAAATGTTTCTATCATGGTAATAAAAGCTTCCACATTTGACCTTTCTGCTAAAAGCAACCCAACTGTGGCAACTGACTATTTTGTGCCAATCCGTCTGCAGCAAACAATAAAAGTAAAATAAAATAAAACGTATATAAACTCTTTATCCCCTTCCCTTTCTTGTATCCTACTTACCC